CTCTCTCCCTCTGTCTCTGTCTCTCACTCTCTGACTGTCTCTCTCTCTCTCTCTCTCTCTCTCTCTCTCTCTCCCTCTCTCCTTCCAGGCACCAGGATCAGCACGTTCACTCAGGCCGATCTGGTATCACGCAGCATCCAGTACGTCCACACCAGTGAAGAAGAGAAGCACGTCGACCAGTTCTCCTTTTCCGTGTCCGACGGGACTAATGAGGTGAATGGGGGGGTGAATGGGGGGGGGTCAATGCTGGGGTCGATTTGGTTCAGTTTTTTACCAACGATGAAGGTGCGTTGAAGAACGTTTTCATGATACCTGGTGGTACAATGGAAATTATCGGGGACCCAGTGAGGTTCCTTGGGGAACGCCTTTATGAGAGTTCATTCGTACTTCCAACAGCCTGAGATATGAATTATATGTATAATTAAATAAACCAAAGCCCCCTTTCCAACTCCACTTCATTTTACTCAAATTAAACCTTTTTTTCCTCAAGAACAGGCAGTTTAGAGCTCAGTAGTAGAGGCAGACGGGCATGTACGTGACTTCGTGCATGAACATCTTTCAACAATCACAGAACCCCACTTGGCACGTCTGCGTCCTTCAGTTCTCATGATTATGAATTAAAGACGGGCAGTGTTTGTGCTCCACAGAGGCCCTTCAGACTGCTTTGTCGTTGTTTTTTTTTGTTTTGAGACCATCAAAGCCTCTCAGCCTGAAATAGAAACAAAGGGTCAGTAAAAGATTTCTGACCCACAGCACAGTAATTACACTGCAGTATAAAATGTAATTAAATAAATATATACCAAATCTAATGGGCCCCAAGCTTTTAGAGTGGTGAGGCAGTGGCACTCCAAGCTCCCCCCCCCAACCCCTACAAAAGTTCACCTCATGCATAACTCTGGCTTGCTAATCCAGACTAATGAGGACCACAAGGACTTGAGTAAATATGTGAAAAAGGTCATTTGGCCTTCACGCCTGGCCGGCCGCGGTGTGTGTGGAGGCTTTTGTTGCCGCCACAGTGCTTGGTGTTTGTGAAGTGGTCTGCTGCTCTTACTTTTGTGAGCTGTCCTCTCTCCAGTCGGGAGGCCTGTTCAGCCTTCTGTTAGAAACACACTGCGTATTAATAACCAAGTGTTCTGCATTAAAAGTTGAGTTTTATTGCTTATTAAAGTTGAACTAAAGCAGAATATTGAACTTGTGTGTGATGAGATGGGATCGCTGAAGGGCATACACAGTTCCTCTTGTAACTGCAGTTTGTGCTGTTTGGATCATGTCACCTGGAAGGGAGTGCGTATAGTTTCCTCACTAGACTGAAACCTACAGAACACATTTGATTTAATGTACTCCGCACTATTACTCTCATCAGCTCTCATTGCGATACATTCAAATAGCTTGACATGTCCTGGCAGGCTGTTGAAAACCACGTATCTCTGAGACTTTTCCATTAGCTGAAAACAACAACCTTGTGCTCTTTGTTCAGATAATCCAATCGGCTTCAAGGTTCACATGTAGTCTGTCTTAGAATAATACACAGTACACACACACACACATGCACATTGAAGGAGTTACTGAAGTCATCCCTAAAGTGATTCCACTGTAAGTGATTTGGGACAAAATCCACAGTTCTCATTCTGTACAGAGATGCATTCAGCTGAAGTTAATGTGAGGCTTCAGCAGTGTGAATACAAATCAAGTGGAGATCCAAAGCTGCCAAAGTTACTTTGTTTTTAGTACAGAATTCACTCGTTACATGCTAATAAGTCTTTGATGCATTTCCTGGTGAAAAAAATTGAACCCAAAAATACTGGATAACTGTTGGGAAAGAGTTGCGCACACGTGACTTCACTCTCAATTACTTACATCTGCGTGGCCTCATGCTGTCCTTGTCCTGCGCATGTTGTCTCCAGGTGGCCCAGACGTTCTACATCACCATCAAACCCGTGGACGACTCCCTGCCTCTGCTCCAGGTTCCTGGCATGAGGGTCCAGGAAGGAGTGAGGAAGACCATCACCGAGTTTGAGCTGAAGGCCACAGACGCAGACACTGAGGTAGGACACACAAATCTCTGACAATCTCAAGCAATATACAATATATATATATATTAATTATATTTTATTAGATATATTATTATTATTATTATTATTATTATTATTATTATTATGTTTTGTATTATTTATTTATTTATGTTGCTAGTTTAGGAAACAGCAGGACCAGCAGATGACAGTTGTTGGTGATCAGCAGCTACTGGTTCTTCTTCACAGCTTTATTCACTTTGTCAACAACATCACGAACACTATTTCCTCCTCCGGCCTCAGATGCTCTCACACTGCTACTCCCATCACTCTGCCATCTTCAGCGCTGTCCAGCAGCGCACTTATTTTGTAATTATTATGATTTCCTATCGTCGTGTGGATCTACTTTCTCTGAATAACAATGCCCTCGTCTACTGCAGCTAGAGACGGCTTTCGTTTCACAGGAGGTCTTCTGAAAGCCACGAAGGAGCTCAAGGAGCTGTTGGTGGTACACGTTGTGTTGTTCTCTAGAAAAGAGTTCACACTGTGTGGTTGTCAGAGTAGCGAAGTAAATAAACTATAAACACAGCAGTGAATGGCGACTTTAAAAAGAAACCCTGGATGTTTCTCAGTCTTCTTTCCTCTTTCCCTCTTTTTCTTTCTGGCTAAAACTTTGTCCAGGCGGAGTCCATCGTCTTCACCGTCGTCCAGGCTCCTCGTCACGGCACCGTCGAGCGCACAAACAACGGGCAGCACTACCGGCAGACCGGCAGCTTCACTATGGACGACATCTACCAGAACCGCATCAGCTACAACCACGACGGCTCCAACTCGCTCAAAGACCGCTTCACCTTCAGCGTGGCCGACGGCACCAACCTGCTCTTCATGGTGGAGGAGGACGGCAAGGAGGTGACGGCATGTGTGTGCGTGTAGAGTGTAGAGAGTGTGTGTGTGTACTCTGACATTTTAACCACAACAGGAAGGCTAAATCTGCAGTTAGATTGTGTGTTAGTGTGTGTGTGAGGCAGCTTCTTGACATTTATTACTTACCAGAAGATTGAATTAGCAGAGTTAAGGCGTGTGTGTGTGGGGGGGGGGGGGGGTGGGGGGGGGGGGGGTGTGTGTCGGGGGGAGTGACTGCTCTGACCTTTTTATAAAAGGAGGGGTGAATCAGCACTTTGTGTGTGTGTGTGTGTGTGTGTGTGTTCTCGTGCTTCTATCTTAGTGAGGACTAGATGAACTATCGACCCGGGGAGTGACACGTTCGAAAATACCTTTTTTTTTCCCGAGAGAAGCCGTTTCTGGAGAGTGTGGACTTTGAAAAAAGTGATTTTTGAACAGAAAAGCTCTTTTTTTTTTGAAGTGAGGACATTCTTTACAAGTTAGGACATTTTGAAAAGTGACGATGTTGGAAGTCTGCTGAGAATTGTTGGAAATGTGGACATTTTTGGAAACTTTGGACAAGTGTTCCAACAAGTTCAGAAGTGTGAAGTGAGTACATCTTTAAAGATTGAGGACATTTCCGGAGATGTTTGGAAGGTGAGGATTGTTTTTCCCTCGCAGAATATTTCATCTGAGGCCTGTTGGAGTGAAACTCAAAACAAGTAGTTTTACTTCCTACCTGAGGATGATCTTATAATCCTGGCTTCATTCACACATGACCTATTTGTGTGACCTCATGTGGTGAACTTCAAACCCCCCCC